ATAAAGCCATCCTACAAGAGTTTTAACTAAATATTTTAGGCTAAACTTAAGTCTTTCCTCTTGAGCGAGATTCATATGTTATATTTTCCCATGGGGAACTTTAAGTCCCTTAGGCGAGGAGTTTTTTCATATTTCCGCGAAGGGCCGCAATAATCTTTGGCATGAAGTCCAGCATACAAAATATTGCTTTAAGAGGAGAAAAGGATCTTTTCCATGAATTATAACATACAAAACATTTACTTAAGAGGTGTAAATGATCTTCGCAATGAAGTCCACCAAACAAAAAATTTCTTTATGAGGCGGCAAGGATCTTCCCTATGAAGTCCAGCAAACAAAACATTGCCTTAAAATGCACCAAGGATGTTTTTCAAGAAGTTCAACATACAAAACATTGTCTTAAGAGGATACAAGGATCTTTCTCATAAAGTCCAGAATACAAAACATTTCCTTAAGAGATGGCAAGGATCTTCGCCACAAAGTCCAACATACAAAATATTTCCTTAAGAGGTGGCAAGGACCTTTGCTATAAAGTCCAACATACAAAACATAGGAAAATGTTCTTATTGCACATAAATATTCAGGAAATTGTCTATAGGTATATGATAATGGCTCTTAAGAAATTACAACAATCTAACTATAAATAATATTTAATATTAAAAACGTTCTAAGTTCTGGGGGGAGTTTTTTATCTAGTTCCTGCAATAAGTACGCCCTGTAGGGAGCTTTTGTAATATGCGATATGGTTCCTCCCAGTTGGATTGTAAGTTTCCATGTTGTGCAGGCATGACCACTCGCATCTCCCTCAGCTTGACTTTGGAGTTGTACATCCTTGAAGTTCTATGCTTGGCAGAGAATTCTTGAACATGGGTGACTTCTCTCAATTCATCGACCAAGTCTTCTAGGGAGGCGTGTCAATATCTACATGAAGCATAGTGTCTGCTCCATACACCATGGAAAATGGAGTTTCCTTTGTAGTAGAGTGAATGGTAGTGTGATATTACCATAATATTTAATGGAGGAGTTACTTGCACTAGTAGAAATGGAGAACTCTTTCAGTTGTGGTTTTGGTGATAACTTCCTCTTCTATCCACTTTGTGAAGTAGTCTACCCCTAGTATCAAGAATTTTAAATGGCTTGACACTAGGGAAACAAACCTAATATGTCTAACCCACACTAGTAGAAAGGCCATGGTAACATCATTGACTGAAGAAGTTCAAATGGGGCGTGATGCAAGTCAGCGTGCCTCTTACAATGGTCACATTTCACGAAGATCTAGTGACCATGGAATTAGGGCCACGAATTTCTCATTATGACAACGACATGTAATGCTAGCTTCTCAATCTTTTGGTATTGTGTTTCAACGCCTCTAAACAACTTGCTTATGAAATACGTTGGTCGTTCTATTTTATCTGTCTCTTGGACGAGTATTGAGTTCATCACTTGATCTTTGACTGAGAGGTAGATGAGTAGTGGTGATTCCTCTCTTGGATAAGTGATAATGGTAGGATATGTGAAGAAGGCTTTCGCCTTCGATAAAGCCTCCTAGAATTTTGCAGTCCATCTCAAAACTCTCTTTTATCTTCAGGGTGGCAAAGAATAGGAAAACCTTGTTGTCCGCACATGAGAGGGAGCGAGATAGGGTGGTGAGGCGACCTGTAAGCTACTACACTTCCTTGATGTTTGTGGGTATTCTTATATCGATGACATCATGACACTTTTTTGGATTGGCTTCAATGCCTCTTTTCGTCAGCATGTACTTGAGAAACTTCCTAGCTTGAAGCCTAAAAGAACATTTGGCGAGATTCAAGCGCGTGTTACATTTTCTGACCGGCTGCTGGACATCCTCTAATTCCGCAGCATGGTTATAACATTTGGTGGTCTTCACTATCATGCCATCAACATAGAAATCTAGGTTCTACCCTATATGGTGGGAGAACACATCGTCCATGAGCTCTTGGTAGGTGGCATCAGCATTCTTAAAGCCGAAGGGCGTGACATTATTGTAGTAGTTTCCATGATTCAACATAAAGATTAGCTTAGGAGCATCAATGGGATCCATGCAAATATGATTTTACACTAAGTAAGCGTACATGAAATTCAACGCGTGATAACCTGAGGACCCACAATCAGTATATCAATGTCTGGAAGAGGATATAGGTCCTAAGGGTATGCGGTATTTAGGTTGGTGAAGTCTACGCACATGCATCACTTGTTCATGGCTTTCCTCACCAATACCACATTAGCTAGCAAGGCGGGATACTTAGTTTCTATGATGAACCCAGTGCTAGATAGCTTTCCTACCTCTTCTTCATTGGTGGTTCTCTTCTCCTCGCCAACTTTCCTCTTCCTCTGCACCACTAGCTTGGAAGAAGGGTCGACAGCGAGAAATGGCACATCACTCTAGTGTGTATCCCCGACATGTCAGAGGGAGTCTATTAGAACAAGTCAATATTTCTAATGAGTTGGTCGACTAACTCGTGTTCTTCTTCCTCGTTAAGAAAAGTGCATATCTTTGTAACTTGATAGGCCGAGGGGCCTATCATGCCTTCCTCTAAGTCCTCCGTAGACATAAGTCTCTCATCGTCAGCTCTCATTATGGTATCCCAACAATTGATGTATGCACCAAGGGCTTTAGCAAGGGGGAGTCCACTAGGGCAAACTCTTTCCTTTACATCACCAGTTTGTTCTGGTAACACTCTTGAGCACTTTGTTGGCATCCTCGAATTGTCTCAATTTTTCCACCAGCCAACGGGTACTTTAGGCCATAAACCAAGTGGAAATAAATTCCCTAACGTATTAATGGTGGGCGGCCTAAAATGATGTTGTAGAGCGACATGGAATCTACTACGAGGTAGTTGACTTTGATAGCCTTGGTGTTTTCTCCCTCGTCGCAAGTTGTCTCTAGGTTATGTGACTCTTCACTTGTATTTTTTCATCTAACAATCCTATTAACAAACCCTAAAAGGCTCGAATGTCGTTGGAGTCGAGCTGGAGGCCCTATAAAGCATCTCATACCATGACATCTGCGGAACTCCTGTGATCTATCAAGATTTGCTTTATGTCCCAGTTTCCATGTTGCAGAATGATGACTAATGGATCATTATAATGAGGGAGGATTATGGTGGCATCATTGCTAGAAAATGTGATTTCGCATTTTCATTCTCTTTCTTCCCTTTTAGAGAATCATGGGGATATGATGTTTGTGGTCAGCACCTGTCTGATGTATTTCCTCCGAGAGTAGAGTTTCGTCCCCCGGCAAAACCCCCAGCTATAGTGTTGACCCTAGAATATGGAGTTTTGTAAGCCATCTTCGACAAGATGGAGATGATGATGATGATGATGAAAAAGGTGCGGCTCAAATTAGTTTTACCTGGGGCTCGTGGTAGGCGTCATTGTACTGGTCAAAAAGTACATGTGTGATAGGCTTAAAGTACAATATTCAATATATTAATATTAATACATTATTCATACTTATTCAATTAGATCTGTCTGATAGGCTTAAAGATTTTTTGTATGGCCTGGGGACGAATCTTTTTAACTAAATAGGCTTATAAGAAAATTTTGGTATATTCTATTTTTAAAAAGTCTAATTTAAGTCTGTATAAATTAGATTGTATGCCTCTATTAATTGATCTGACATATTTTTATCCTCAATTAAACCATAATAATTATTAAAGAAACGAAAAGAAAAAAAATGATAAGAGTAAAACTAAAAATTGAGAGAAGGGAGGATCTAACAGCAGACTAATATAACCTTTGAATACTAGATCACTGATGAGCTATTATAATATGTTAAAAAAATAATTTTACAAACTACTATACAATATATTAAAAGGTTTATATAATATTAAAACTTTGTCTTTATAGTTGAGTCTGGAAAAAAACTCGTGCAAGTAAGAATAAGCTGTTTCTAAGACTCAAAATGAGTCGAATCAAGTCAAACTCCCCTCAGTTCGGCTTGACTCATTAAGAATTGATTCAGTTCAAATTTCAGGTTAAGTTTGACACAAACTTTTTTTTAAGCTCAATTCGACTCGTTATAAGTTCGCGAACAATTTAGTTCAGCTTGTTAGATTCATCTCGCTTGCTTCAAAGATATAAAATCCATTTTTTAAGTATTCTTTTTTTTATATATTTGACATTTTAAATTAATATTTTTTAAAAAAATATTAAAATAAAATAAAAACTATTAAATTTTAATTTAACTTAATTTTAAAAATCTACTAATTCAAAAATTACAGAACTTTCAATAAGGTTGACTCCGAGAGCACAGTAGATATTAGAATGCAAGAACACCTGTTGTCATATGAGATACCACTATATTTTTCGCGGTTAAATTAAATAAAATATAGGACTAAGATTTAGAGTAAATCTTTAAGCTTATTCTTAAAGTATAATTTTATATTTCAAATTCAACTCATTTAATTAACAAACTTAATTTTTCATTCATATTCAACTCATTTAGTTAATAAACCTAATTCAACGATTTAATTATCAAACTATATTCTGAACTGTTTTCAATCTAGTTCAATTTTGTTTCTGATATAAAAAAAATAAAAAGTAAAGATAAATTGTAGTTTGTGTCTTTACTAAATCTAATAACTTTAGAAGCTTCATCGCCTTCTCTAACATCCTCCACAGTCCCTCTCGTTCAAATAAGTAAAAGTTGTACAAAAACACCCGCTAAAAAATTTGTTCAAATAAGTCAGAATTGTGCAAATAATACAACCAATAAATTCATAAGAATCATAAATTTGAACTAAAAATCAAAAACATGTTTATCAATAAAACTTGTTAAACTGTCTACGTAAAAAAAGTTCAAATAAGTCATCATAATCTAATTTTATTTTACCGGTGCAACATATTCTCATTTACACAATAAAACTTGATGCCTTAGTTTAGCTCAGGATCATTTCCTTCACCAAAAGCGTTTTACATAAATAAACAAGGAGCCACAAATATTTTACAATACATCTTCAGGATGCAGCTTAAGCTTTCAACTAAGAACTTTTATCCACTGCTTTCCCTAAAGAAGTGAAGTTCAACCTGAAAAAATAAGGAATCAACCAACCAAAATAACATCAGAGGAAGTAAATAACAAAGTGACACTAAAATGAAATATGATGGGAATATTGTTTACCTGATAAGAGGCTTCCTCTGTGGTAGAGGAGCAGGAATCCCACATAACAATGGTGCCATCAGCTCAGCAGGCTGTTTTTAAACACAAAAATATGAAAAGCTTATTAGTTTATCTGCAAGCATAAGCACTTGTGAAATTGTTTGGAAGAGCTTACGAAAACATATAATGACAAGTCTATAAACTGTTTTCAGCTTATTTTCATAAGCTCTCCATAATAACTTATGAAAACAGCTTAAATGAAAATAGTTTGTACTATAATGGTCTAATTAAATTGTTTATCCAAATAGGGTCCTGAGTGACAGAACAAATGCTAATTCAACACCCTCGATGAAAATTCATAAAAGAACCTGTCAAGGTGTAATGAACTATTTACAATAGCTGCATAATATTTTATTGAAGAATATGACAGTGAAAATCTTCCAAATTTTAGCCAGAATAAGAGATTAACCTCAAGCTCCTCCAAGCCTCCATTAGAGAATGATTGAGTTGAACAAACAGTTTCCTTAGGAATAACTAGCTCTTCCACCACTGCAAACTTTGAGTTTGAAGAGTCAGAGTTGTTTTTCACACTCCCACCATTATCTTCGACTTGATTTTTATACCCCAAATCTTCTTCAAGCTCATCAGGTTCTTCGGCCAAAGCTTGATGAGCGTCATACGGACCAGACATAATCTGCTCGATAGCTAGTCGTTCTTCTTCTTTATTGTTTGATGTATCAGGAGCAGTAACTTGCTGGTTTCCCATTACTGATCCATTGGTTTCACTATCCCCGGAAGGAACTTTATCAACCGATTTTAGACGAGGTACCTCACTCTTCTGTGCAGCCATACTGTTGACTTCAGAGTCATCCAATTTCATAGAACAAGTACTAGTAGCACTAATAGGAGTTACATCTTCATGAACTTCCTTGTTTGGAGGGGAAGAAGATACAAAGGACTTTGAAACCCTCGAGTTATTATTATCCTCCAATCGCTTTCTCTTCCTTTCATCACCGGCTCCAAGTACAACTGTTTTACCTCCTTGAGACTTTTCAGCTTGACTTTGGCCACTAACCCTTGATTTCGAACTTTGTTTATTCTCACCGGCTACTTTAGAAGAGAAGGAAGGCCGAACACCGCCAGGAAATATGAAGTTTGGTATGTTACGGCGTTTCACATGAGAGACGCGGATATCCATTCCCGGTTTCCATAGAGTGTACGCGTTAACAGAATGCTTGAATTCATCTACAGTTAGCCTTATATCAAATTGCTCACCTTCATTTACCGGAACTCCTTGTTTACGCTGCAGACCCATGAAGTAACAGTGGTGGAAGGATCTAGATTTGTCTGAAAATTCGCCAGGATAAGGGTGACACTGAAGCATGCCATAAGTGTACCTCTCAATCTACAAGTTTAAAGAACCATAGTAATCAAATTGAGATTCAAATTGTAAATTAGAAAACCTACTTTTTGAATCGTGAATTGAATCTTCTTAATGAATCCCAGGATACATTACTGATAAAAATGTGAAATTTTTAAGTTAAAACAAATGACATTTTAGGTAGCAAATCATTAAAGGGAATCAATATTTATAATAGAAAGCCCAGATTCATCGTAATGAATCGCAAAGGGATTCAATATGAGAATTATGTCCAAAATACATACTAACTATAGATTCATATTAATTTGGTTATGTTGTCTCGAATCAATATATGACTTGCATATATTGTATGATACTGATAGCCATGTAAAGAACAACTAGTATATACTGTTATACATTATGCAAGAACAGAAAATGAGAAGACACATCCGCACCCTTCCTCAAAACCGAAGAAAATGAAAAAAGGGGGTAGTAATGAAAAAAATATATAATAAGTATTTAAAAATGATAAACTTTGCAGTTACCTTCAGTGTCAACTGGCGGAGACGAGACTCAACCCATCCTTTCCATTGTCTAAGGTCGTCGGGATTCTCTGCTGTAATGTCTATCTGTAAGTAATTCTTGTAAGCTTCAAAAAAGGGATAAGGCTCAAAAAGAGTATCCCAATCATCCTTGCTAGCCTCCATAGCCTACAAACACCCCAAACATCAAATTTAAGCAACCCAAATATCACAGTAAGAACAAAATAGACAACAAAACCAATTGGAACCAAAAATAAAACATAAGATGAAATCATTTATAATTAACAAAAAAAAAAATCATCGCCAAATATATCAAATTGTTAAAACAATCAACCAAAACATGAAATTACTTTAGTTAAATCAATATATCATACCTCACATATTTCACTTCCCCTCTTAAACTCCTCCGACATAATACGCAGTGTACTTGTTGTCACATTGTAAGTAGAGTTCATGCAAGGATAAGCAGGAGTAATTATAGGCATCAGATGATATCTATCTTTGGGATTTCTTCTAGGATCCCAAACCGATAGTCCAAGAGATCCTTCTTCAATAGCACATAGCATGACTGGATTTGGCCATCGCCACTGAGTATATACTCTAAAGAATCGAGACACCAGCATATTAGGCAACGCATTAGGATAGAGCTGGCATATTCGACCAACAAGCAATGCCAGATTAATACCACCAAGAAATCCAGCAACCTGTAAATAAAATAGCAAAAAGATGCTTTAGGAAAATAAGAATCAGATCAAATGAACAACTTTGGAACAGAAAATAGGAAATTATGTATGGTAGTTACATCATACATTAGAATATACACCACGACGCTTTGCCCAAAACCTCATGAATCTCAATGTTGTGCGAAAACTCTGATGTAGAAACATAATACAATCGGTCATAAGCCTTTGCAAAAGAAATATACAACTGTTCATAAGAATGCCACACAAAAGGTTGACGTAAAATCTAGGTGAGTAAATTTTATAACCACCACCTGAATATTTGGAACTAAACGCAGGACTTGATCAGTCACTCTACATCCATTGAGACTGAGAACAGTTTGCTCATCTACATTTTGTAGTATTGATTCCTGTGATACATCCAAGTCCTGCCCAAGAAAATCCACAATTAGTAAATGGTAAATTTGAAGATTTACAATATAAATTCAGAATAAAACATTCAGAATAAAACACACGAGGGAAGGCAAAATGAATGTCACATATGTAGAAGACTCATTCGTGGATGAACTAAATGTCCAAAGATTAGGTTCCAAATTAATGGTATCTTCCCTAAAATTAGTACTGTCAATCTAAGATCAGTGCTGACAACACTTTGTACTAAATCATATGTCGCAGAATATCGGTGGTTTGTTAAAAGTCCGCTGCATTATATCGCTACAATGTCGTCATAGCCACTATTGTCAACACTGCCTAATATTAAGGACCTAAGCTTTGACACAGAAAGGCGGTAACCATTAAGAGACGGTAACGGGATGGTCGAAATGCCATTTATAACACTCGGGAATGATCTCTTGTGTTATTTAGGAGTTTTTTGTTTGTGCTTTAAAAGAGTGATTCAATACTACAGCTTTTATAAAAACTCGTTTTTAATTTTGTGAAAAAAGGAAGTCCTAAAAAATAAAAATAGACTTTTCTGTATGAAAAATGCAAAATCACCTCCAAATAACACTGGTTGAGTTTTCAATTTCCCATTCAAAACTTTTGAGAGATACAAAGAAAAGACATTGACATGAACGAAGGAACAAGAATTGTGCGTCAAATAGTTAATATTTTTTAATAAATAACTTACTTCAGGAATAACCCACAATGCCAATCTTGCATACAGGAGATCTACAGAAACTCCATTGAACTTGAATTTCATCACAGGGACATGAGCATCAGGCACAGGGTGCAATTCAGTTACTTCATCCATCTCAGATAGCATCCTCTGTAACTCGCCAAAGAAATCTTCCTAAACCCAATTCAAATAACAATTTAAGTTAATAGGAGATATAATCAGAACAAACCAATCTTTTCACCATTAAAAAAAAAAAGCAACCATTAACATACTTCTCTGGTTGCATGTCTTGGTCCCACACAAAGGGTATCGATATCAGCTCCAGGGCCATGCACCTGCAAGATATGGAGTGAACATTTGGGTCAAATAAAACAAAACAAGAAAAGAATATTGCAAAATGTAAATAGGATCATATCCAATCAATTCAGTTTTTTAGGTTCGGTTTTCGCATCACTTCATCAAATATATGTTGCTTATTCCGCAAAGAATTGTATTTTCCTCCAATAATAGTGGATGAAATTTCATAGTTTCAATCTAGTATTATAATAGACATATATTTGATGATGATATGATATAAAAAGAAAACGTAAACAACAGAACCAACATGATATGAAAGTACTATCAAATTCTCACCTACTCATCCCTTCTCCGGCCGGCACTCCACAATTAGATACAATAAAAGTAAAAGGAAAAGATCAAAGTGTATGTGCACAAACAAGAAAGATTAAGAAGATGAGAACAACTTCATACCCCTAGCCGATAGGAGCCAAAAGTGAAAATCTTAGCATTTGCTTCGTGCACCAGTTGTTCATTGAATCCCTTTGCCCGGCTAATGGTCTTGACCCAAATCTTCACAATCTAATTCAAATTATAAAAGCACAATCAAAACTAACGAATTCATAGTAATCTACACTACATTTTCAAAGATATTTTTTCAGTGATTAAACATTAAGGGTGAGGGGAGACTCTCCCCATTACTAGCAGAATATTCTGAATATGTATCTGTCGCATTGGCAGTGTTGTTTAATAGGGCTATATCCCCACTGCAATCAGTTAATTGAAGATGCTTAATGAAGATTGGACAGCACAACGGAATTTGAACAAATCAGCTATTGTTATGCGGTATGCTATTTTATTTAGTACAAAATGCTGTCAATTACAAGCTATAGTGCACTGTTTCCTAGCAGAATTCAAATAAACTGCTACTTTCCACAATCCACAATCAACAACACTGGTTCATATTCCTATCTTAGGAATTTGAAATCAAAACATGAACTCATAATGTGATCATATCTTCATCTAACAACTACAATTTTTTTACCCTAGAATTTGCATTGTTGCTAAACCTAGTCTCTATATTTCCAAGACGGAATTAAATGAAATGAAATGACATCGCATCAAAAGGTAAACAAAGTCAACCTGATCCAGCCTGCCAAGCACTTCCTCTCTACCCACTGCCTCCTGCTGACTCTCATACAATCCAACACCTTGCAAATACTGAACACCCAGAATCCAAATTCAGCACAAAATAACACTAAGAAAAGCTCTAAAATATGTATAACTTCACAATAACTTCAATCAAAAACCTTTTCAAGTTCACGAGTCTTGTTCACATCTTCCTCAGTTGGTCCAGCCAATGAAATGGGCTCGGTTATGCCTAACCATTGTTGTCCATTATTCTGATTGCTCATTCCAGGTATCCCCATCAACAAATTGATACAATTTTTTTTTCTTTTTTTTTTTCTTTTTTTTTCCTAATTACACTATGATATCTTTTGTTTCAATGATAGGGTTGCTATGGAAATTATCAATTACTGATTTTTTTTCAATCTTTTTTTCAATTTTTTTCCAATAAATCAACTAAAAACAAAACGAAACACAAAAAGGAAAAAAGCAAATACACACTATAACAATGTGATGATAATTGTTCTTGATTTTACAGTATTTGGAATGAAAACGTTCAAATCTATGAACTTTGACCACAAAAACATGAAAAAATAAATAAAAAGGATGCAAGATTACAAAGCGAAATCGAATCAATAATACAGAAATTCAAATTGGGGCTTTTTCAACCGCAACCCTAAATCAGCAACACCGAGCAATCACGACAATCCAGATGAACAAATATACGTTGAACGGGATCGGAACTTCAGAAAAGCTTCAACTTGATGAATTCTCGAGGGTTCGGCACTCCCACAATGGTTGAATTGAACCTTGAAAGCTTCGATATTAGAAAATAAAATATATTTCAATAAAATTAAATAAATAAAATTGAAAGATCGAAGAAAAAATGAATAGAAAATTACAAAGTAGGTTAGAGAGGTAAAGGTTGCATAGAGAAGCTTACGGAGAGAGAGAAAGAGAGTGCGTGAAAATGGGTCTGGAAACTGCAATGACGATGATGAAGAAGAAAAGAAGTGTTAAATAGAATATGCATAGAATAAAAATTGGACCACTGTATTTATAGTACTTTATCTTTTTTAACTAAGATTTGTTTTGATATTTTCTTTTATTTGGTTAGATTATATATTTTCAGGGGATTTTATTTGTTTTGATTTTTTTTTTTTTTAAAAGATTTTATTTCATTGGACCTCAACTCATCAAAGTTTGGCAAGTCGCACTTTAATAAAAAATAAAAAATGTGTATGAATTTTAAAATATATCTTCGAACACATTTATAATACATATATTTTAGCATTTTATAATGAGTCGCTTCGAAAATGAATCTTTAGAATAATTTGAAAGTGCACTTTCATAGTTTTATAATATCGTGAAGTGCATTGTTTACTTTCAATATTTACAAAGTAACTTAACCTAACATCACATGCATGACATGAGGAATAAGGTTACTGTAATTATGGGGTAACAAGGTTATAGTCAAGAATTATAAAACAAACAAACTTTTAACTTGTGAAATTCACATCACTATACATTTTTTTGGATTTCGTAACAGGCTTAGGAGATGAGATGAGATGGATTCCTTATCGTGCTCCTCGTCGCCTGCAAATAGCATTTACTAAGAAATTGCTAAAATCTTCTGATTCAAATATACATGAAATTTAAATTCTACTTCCATTTCCATTTTTTCATTATAGGCTTTCAATCAATGGCATAGAAGGTTACGAAAGTGCACTTTCGAATTATTCCAAACATGTACTTTCGAACTAAATTTGAGTAAAATAAGGGTGATTCACTCACAAAGTGCTGAGGTGTGTGCATTATGGATGCGTCCAGAGATGTATTTTCATAATTAAGGGGCATTTTAGGTTTCCAAAGGGTAGTCATTCACCCCATGGGATGGGAAAAGTAATCCCTAGTGTTTTCTTTAACTTAGGTTTTGTTTCCAGTTTGAGCGGCTTGTTTTGTGTGGGCTATTACGTTGTTTTCTCTCTTCATGTGAGAAAACTTAATTCTCTTAAAACTAGTCATCTTCTTGTTAACAAAGTTACATGTTATTCCGAGTTAGTTCTAATTTTTTCATTTTCTTTCATCGTCTTTACAAAAGTTTTGTTGTTAGTTTCAAATTCAGCATCTAAGAAACAACAATCCATAGTTTTCTTTGTAATTTTTTTCAAAGTCATTGTTTCTAACATTCGCGGTTTGTTGTTACCATCTATGCAAGAAGAGTTAATTGTCATTGTTTCCCTCTTTCCATCTTCGAAGATAGCTCCTAGACCTAATTTCCCATTTTTTGCAAGGCTTGCATCGATATTTCATTTTATTCATCCTTGCTCGGGAGGTTTTCGTTTGGATTTTTGAGATCTTTGATCCTCCTTCATCGGCTTGTTGTTGTTTTCGGATATCTTTTTGATTTTTTTCCTTTTTCTTCACTACAATTTTTATTTTCTTCATTTTCATTATTGACTGGTTTTCTTCTTTTCTTAGAGATGATAATCTTTGCATAAAAACTTTGTTCCTTCTCAGATTACGCTCAATGGGTGAAACATGATTATGGCGTTCAAAAACATATGTTATTGGTTTGAAATTGTCCTTGTTATACGAATGTTTCCTTTTTATGGTACTAAGACAAGCACTAAAGGTGATTGTTTCACTTTAAGCGCCATATCATGAAAAACATTGTTCAAGCATCATTTTAACTTGTTCTGGACTGGGTCGGGACCTGCCCGTTAGTCGGGCAGTGTTGCACCCTAAAATTTGCTCAACCTACTTCACTTAGTTTATGTTTCAATTGTATTAGCATTTGCATAAGGAGTCATGTACATAGTCTAATCATTTGCATGGCATAGCATAGCAAGTCATTCAACAAGGGACCAAGTACTATTCTTATCTCTATGAGCCTATCAAGAGGTTATTATTCAAATTCAATCTTAGCCAAGTCATCAGAAAGAAATTGAAATCTAAGAAGTCAGTGGATCAAGCAGTGAATCTATCTCCTATCTGAGGGTATTTGAAGATCATCAAAGAAGTTGTGAGCCGTGAATTGAGAGCATGGAGGGTATATAGACATCATGGAAGACATAGAGAGTCATTTTGAAAGTGAGACAAGTCATTGATATGATCACAAGAGTCGCAGTTGAAGACAGTCAACTAGGGTTTCATCTGGGTCAACCCTAGGTCAACCCTAGGTCAAATGATTGATTGAAAGGCATCAAGGTCTATTTGAGGAATGTGTAGTTCATCATTTGACATGTAGATATGGATTTGGTGTTGTGCCAAGGAGAAATCAAGAGAAATCAAGAAGAAGAGGAGTTTCTAAATTAGGGTTTCTGTGTAAAATCCTCTAATTTAGGTCAAACTTCCAGGCAAGATAATTCAAAATGCAAGCTTCAAATGGATCCTTGGCCAACATGAAACTTTTAGAGGATCTCAAGACCTTTAATTTTAGTGGTGGAAGACATCAAGGAGATTTATAGAACTCAAGTTATGGTCCTTGCAAGTTACAGGTCATCTGAGGTATCTGAAATTCTGTTTGTGAAAGTTACTTGTCTTCCAAGCAACTTTTACCCCTCAAGGAGCTTTCAAATGGATTTCTGGTCAACATGAAAGTTGTTCCTCATGATCTTAGCTTTCTAGAAAGGTATAGTATGCCTTCATCTGATTTGTGAAACTTTACTTATGACCTTGGCAAGCAAAGGGTATTTTGGTCATTTGAGAATTATGGGTCATTTCAAGCATATGCCTAAAACTCATACAAGGAAGCTTCAAATGAAAAACTTCACAACATCAAAGTTGTTCCAAATGACATTTTGAGTCTAGAAAAGTGGTCATGGAAGTTGGCAAATGCTCATAGCTCAAGATTGCAAATTTGGTCAATTAAAAGGTGAATTTAATGAATAAAAGTGACCTAAAAATGAGATTTTTCATAACATGGCCAAATGGGATGAAATTATAGGTCATTTTGATTGGAAAGAATGTTTTAAGACCATTGGCAATAGTGGATTTTTGAGTTTAGGTCAAAATTTGAGAGATATCATGGCTTGCTTATGATTAAAGTGACACATGCCAAAACTCAAGGGATTTGTGTACAAGGAGTTTCTAGCAATTTCTAGATGTTTCCATGAGCATCTATATAAACCCTAGAGCTGATCCATGAAGGGGTTGCACTTCATTTTGATCCAAAACACCAAGTTTCACTTCATTTTGCATTTTTGCAAATTCATTCCAAACTTCTCAATTCTTCATCAATCATTCAACTTTATGATCCAAATCCACTCAAGAATCATCCCTGAGTACATTGCAAGCAAGATTTGAAGAAGAAATCACAAGAATCGTGGTATACAAGTTCATCCTCCAAATTGCAAAAAGAGTTGGTTACAAGAATCCAAGGTGTTTAAGCAAGAACAAGTGCATATAGAACCAAGATCCATAGCCATTGATCAAGTCCTAAGCATTGCTAGCTGTGAATCCAAGGATTTCTCCATCTGTTTTCAGATTTTTACCAGGTTGGTATTTCCTTCGAATTAGCATAGAATAAATAGCATGATGTAGAATCCTTAGGTTAGAACTGTTAGGAATAGGTAGATGAATAATTCTGGTGAATTTGAGAGCTTTCCATGGAGTTTGACATTGAAGCACACCAACTGTTTGGACTTAGAACTCTCTTGATATGGAGTGTTAGCACTAGTTCTTTAGCTTAGGTTAATCAGTGATGCAAGGGGAGTATTTTGATGGCAAGAAATTGAAGAAAGAAGAAGTTGGAAGTTGGAGTATTATGGAAGAGTATGCTATCGGGTTTGGCTTTCTAGGGCGTGTTAGTGAGAATTAGTGATGTATTATTGTTCAGCTTGAGAATTAGAGCAATTTTGCTTTTTATGGATCTGAATTTCATGGAGAAACGGAGTTGTATGAGGGTGTTGAAGTCTGGTTCATGAAGCTTCGTGCATGGCTGTGTATGGCAAACCCTAGCTCATTGGAGAAGATGACTCCACCAACGTTGGATTGTGCACAAGACTTTGACTCAGAAACTCATCCAACGGCCTATGTTTAAAGATGAAATGAGGGGGGGAAATCTTAAGCAAAACGCGTCGTTTCATTAAACGACTCTGCTGGGCTTAAGTGCCCTTATGCTATTCGCACCCCACTGTCCATGCCCAGTCCATTTTGAACTAACTTTAGTTGCTGTTTACACCGTTTCCGTTTTATTTTCTTTGGGATTTTTTCTGATTTAACTGGGCCCAGACGCGCCTTGCTACGCGCACCCCCAGTCTGGGCCCATCATTCATTTTTCAACTGAGGTCATTACTGA